TATTATTATTATTATTATTATTATTATTATTATTATTATTATTATTATTATTATTATTAGTAATTGTCGTATACGTTAATGTGAAACGTTATGCGACAGTTTAGATTAATGATACATCCGGAGGAATGTCGTTCTGACCCGGGTCTTAGTTCAGATGGTATCGAGATATAATACTACTCTGCGAATGGCTTTGGTTCGTCACCGCCATGTGGCGCTCTGGACTTGAGTTGCTTTGAGAAAGTTTTCCGTAAAAGTAAGAACGCGTATGTATCAACACTATTTGGGGAGTTCTCATGTCAAGACGCTCCTCCCTTGTAGCTCGGTCGTATCGGAGATGGACGTTTGTTTCGGAGGTCCGGGCTCTTAATCATTAATCTTATAGTGTTGTAAGGGCCGTCAAACCTGCGATGGCCAATGAACGTTCTGGCCCGCCAAACGTACATAATATATTAATCTATGGTTTGCTGGCAACGCATCAGATTAGCGTATTATAAAATTACAACTGGCTGGCTGTCCTGCATTGAGATTCCAAGCTGGGCAGGGCGGTTACGAATGGCGGAATGGTGCCAAAAAATAAAAAAATAAAAAAATAAAAAGTGAATAAAACTTTTTTTTTAAATAGTAAAAACGAAACAAAAGAGGAATTGGAAAAAAATACAGCGACCTAACAACCGACTGATAAAGAAAATAACAACAACAACAACAACAACAACAACAACAACAACAATAACAACAACGTCGACGACAAAAAAGGAAGAGGAAGAGTAAAATAGTTTACAAAAAAAAAAAAAAGGTGAACGAAAGAGAAATAAAAAGAATAACTCAAGAGAACCAAAAAGAATAACTCAAGAGAACCAAAAAACAATTAATATAACAGAACAAATCCCAGACGACAAAATGCGTATCAAAAGCAAAAACCGAGGGACCACAGACTGTCTCCGCGACAAGGTGAAGGTCGCGGATCGGCTGGCTAAAATCTAGGCTAAGCCTGAAAAACGTTGCAAGCAGACGATGTTTTGTTTGGTTTTTTTTGTTGGTAACAAACAAACAAAAGGAAAAAAGAATACTATTAATGTCATGGACCCGCTGTTCTCAACATCAATACGTAAATACAGTTTTGTTTTTTTTGCGTGTTTTTTGTTGTTTTGTTTTGTTTTGTACGGTACATCAACATGTTGTTGAAGAG